GGGGGGGGGGCGGGGGGGGCGATAAGGTCGTGTGAACGTTCGACCGCATGCGTGCGTGCGTGCGTGCGGGAACACCAAAGGGGAGAGAGGTTGTGATGTCATGGTTTTTCGTCGAAGGTAACGCGAAAGGGTGCCGCTGCGTTCACGTACGTAGCTGGGTGACGAAGCCAATGATCTTCTCTCCCGAAGCTTGTTCGAAAAGCCGCCCAAAACACATGAGCAGGAGCGGAGTATTTTTCTGCACGCCGCTCGTTGGTTGGTTGGCAGCCGCAGCATCAACAAGCGCGCAAGCAACCCGGGCACATGTACAACCACACAGCAAAGGTCCTACTCCCATATACTAGGTCGTTCTCGCGGGAAAAATCCCGTTCGCGTCCATCAGGATCGGTCCCAACCCTACCAACGAGCCCCGACTATTCTATCCATCGCTTCGCACGCGCGAGCACAACCAACCCCAAGCCCAGCCGGTGCGCAAACCTTGGTGGCAAAAAAGTGCTGCCCCTTCATCGTCGTCTCGCGGTCTCCGCTCGCCACTGTCGTCAGAGGCAGGCCCGCGGTTCCCTCGAGCCTGGCCTGCAACCGGAACTCGTCCAGGATCCTCCTTCCCCACTCCAAGGCCAGGTGGTTGTCCAGCACCTGACCTGAAAGGTCGGCGCTGTGGGCAGAGGCAGGCAGGCAGGCAGGAAGGCAGGCAGGCAGGAAGGCAGGACGGCAGGACGGCAGGACGGCAGGACGGCCGGGGGGCGAACACCGAGGATTCAACGAACACGTATCGTAGGAAAGCTTGACACGAGCAGCGGGGACGTTCAGAAGGGGAAGGGGTGGGGGGTTTCTTGCTTGAAGAAAAATGCATTGCATTGTACAGGAGTGCACCACTTACGCCTTCTCGGGTATGCAGAACATGAAAACAATATACCGCAGTTCATCTAAATGGAAGCTAGCTATACTACCAAAGCCCCGACGTGAAAAGCCCCACGCAAGCTCGGAACCATGCAACGCAAGCACAGGCCCAACTGCTATTACTATTGGACTCGACAGGGGAGGAGAAACAGCAGACGGAAACCGTCGTGCGGGACCCACACCAACCCACTGCAAAACGATCGATTGTTGGTTGCAGGAGGTGCGCCGAGGAGGGGAGGGACAGAGCACGCATGAATAACCCGAGGACAACCTCGCAGAAAAATAATCCCTCAGCCGCACCCCCAACAGTTTGCTCCCAACAGGCCTCGCAAACGCAGACAGAAGCACACGAACCAGTGAAGGATGGTCTTGGTGAGGAACGATCGGTCCTCGGCCTTGTCCACGCTAAAAAGGTGTTCCGGCGGCGGCGGCGGCGGCGTTGGCGCCGGCGTCAGCGGTGGCGGCGACATGCTCCTGCCGCGCGTGTTCTTCCGCGCCCCAGAACTACAGCCGGGCAACCCGTTCGCAATCGCTGCGGATTTTGATCGCTTCTTCGCCGGGGAGTCGACGCCATCGCCATCGCCACCGCCGGGGGGGGGGCAGCTAGCCCGCGTACTTCTCAGCCCCACCCCCCCTCTCGCCTCCGCCGCGCCCCCCTCGCCGTGCGTCTCCATCATCGCGACGGGAGACAGGCTTCGCCCCGCCCGGCCCTTCCCCTGCCGGGACGCGGCACCGCTCGCCGAAGCCCTTCCCCCCGGGCACCCTCTGCCTCGGAAAGCGGCCAGCTTCTTCGCCTTCTGCACGCACTGGAAGACGTCCGCGCAGTGCTGCATGTGGCCAGACATGTCCGTGCCGAGGATGGCCTGCACGATGGTCTGGCGGACATCTCGAAACTGGGCGCGCGTCAGCCCCGAGAAGATGTTGTTCGCCCCGCCTTCCTCCAGCAGCACCTGCAATTTTATTTTTTAGTTCGTTTTGGGCGGGGGGGCGGGGGGTATCGTCGTAGAGCAGCACTGCCGAAGAGAGCTCCAAGTCACCACTCTGTACAAACATGGGGTGTTCGAAACAACGCGCGGCATGGGGGAGGACGGGAGTATCGAAAAAAGGCACGGCGTGGGGGAGGACTGAAGAGCCCTGAAACCGACACAAACACCGAACGGAGGAAGCAATGGACGAAAGACCAAACGGCGACACAGAGAGCCACACCATCACCACCAACCACGGCGGCAAGCAGCCAGCAACACGAATAACGAAGGCGTCACAAACTCCGTAAGCTTTTCCGTCCGTGCCCCAACGTCCCGGCCATTCGCCCGTAGTAATAGCTCGCCTGGTACGTGACGAACACGTGGTGGCGCTCTAGCACCGAGCTGTCGCCGTGCTGCAACGCCAGGGGGGAGAGGGAGTTCACTTCGTAGGCGTTGTTGTTCCTGGGACGCGCGTGCGAGGGTAGGGTGCGAAGGGACGGCAGGACGGTCAAGCGAGGCGAAAAGCATCGTGCTACACATACATCGGAGGGAGACCTCGCGATTGCTACACGCACGAGCAAGGTCTAGAGAGCTCAGTCGGGGGGCACAAAACGACTTGGCTTGGCTCCCCATCGGGGTCCAAGCTTACCCTGGGTGGTCGATGTCGTGGCAGAACGCCGCGACGAGGAGGGCGAGCTTGTCCAGCGGGCGGAGCAACGAGTTCACTTGCGTAGTCTTCACGATCGTGAAGGACGCGTGGGTGACGCTCACGGCGTGGGTCAGGTTGTGGAAGGAGTTGGGCCGATATCGCCGCTCGACCCCCCTTACGAAGTTCTGCATTTTCTGGTCCGAAATCTGCACGCACCGCCACAATGGACAATGAAACGAACGGGTGGGGGGATGACCAACGGTGAGCACGGTCGATCGAGATGTACCTCAGAAGGCCAATCAAAGTTGTCAAGGCCTTTTCTCCAAACACTCTTGGGGTTACAGGTTGGAGTGGGGTTCGACGCGCATGTGGACAGGCAGACGGGCGCGGCTCGGGGGTGGGGTGGGGGGGTGGTGTGGCATACTCTTACGGTTTGCATGTCTTCGCGGTTAGACCATTGACCACGCGTCTTCGAGAGGACGGAGCATTGTTCCGACTGGACCGATCACCGATGGCCAATCGTTCCTTCCTACTTTGCCAAAGGTGGCCGAAAAATGTCTTCCCTAGTCTATCTATCCTATCTATATCACTTCCCGCCTTTTCAACCCACTTCCTATGCCCCAGTACAGCTACCGTCTTCTCCTGGCTACCGTAGACGACACAAGATAACACACCCCGGTGATAACATTTTGGGCTTTAAAAATATTATCACCGGGTGTGGTACCCTGTGGGGTGTGTGTTATCCCACGTAGCCCGGGTGATAAAGTGCAGCTCGCACGGGCCCCTAAGGGTGTGTGATAAACCAGGGGGTGTGATTGCACGTCCGAACACGCACAGGTTGTGTTTTGGGGGTGTGATAAATGAGGGTTTGATAAAAACGGGGTGTGATAGCACGCCCGAATACCCACAGGGTGTGTTTGGGGGTGTGAATATTGAGGGTGTGTGTGAAAAAAATTGGGGTGAAATAACACTGCTTGCAGAGTTGAACCGCTGCTGCCGCACATTTGAAGGGGTGTGGTGTTGCGGGGGTGTGTGATAGCAATGCCTGTACGAACACTTCATGACTTGTGATCCTGCGGAATGTTTTAAAAACAATGGAGCTCAGCGGAGGAGACAAAACTCCTGAGCACATGACCTCGGTGGCCACAGAGTGCGCCCACCGTCCTGCCCCTCACACAAAAAGTAGCTGCTGCATACCTTGCTATTGGGTACGACCAAAAGAGAGTTACGCAGATGTTGTGTGTGTGTGCGATGCCCGCATGCCCACGGGGCAGATGCTGTATCGCCACGGTGATAGAAGGAGGGGCCCCGTGAATGTATGCGGCGTAACCTCAAGGGGTGTGTTATCTTATGTAGCCCCGGTGATAAATCGATGGTTTGTCAGAAACACCCAAAATTATCACCGGGGTGTCGTATTCTGTGGGGGGTGTGGTTTATTGTGTGGGTGTGTTACCTTGTGTCGTCTACGGTATTCCATGCCTCAAGCATCTCCCTGTATCTTCCTTCCCAGCTCATGTACACTTCCCTCTCCTCGTACAACGGACGTTCTGCAACTACATGAACCCGGTCTTCGCACTCGGAGTCGCATTCACAGTCGCACTTGTCGTTTTCATCGTCTACGTTGCTAAATCTTCGTCGACGTTCTCAAGTTCAATGTCCCCGGTCCTGAATTTGACCTTCAGCTTTGTCCCTGCATCCATTGGGCCATGAAGTTACTCCTTGAACCCTATTCCTTCTTTCAACATTTCGTACACTGCTAGACCCTCCATATCCTTGGTTTCTTCTCTTAGATTCTGTTCTTCTCTCTAGATATCTTCTCCTTGAACCCCTCTAGACCTTCCGTTTCCAGCGTATCACCTTCGTCAATTTCGAACCCTTTCCATACGTCATCTACAACCTTGACCCACTCCGTGGGTTGTCTACCCCTCTTCTTGTTTGCCCACTTCGCCTCCAAAGCTATTCTCGGCAACCTCTCATCTCCCATACCGCACATGCGGTACTGCCATTTTAATTTCCTCGCGTCTCTTCCCCATCGTAGGAGTTGGATCCCCAATTCTGCCCTGACGGCTGCATTACTTGGGCCCTTGAAGCATCCTAGGATGATTTTCGCTGGTTTCATCTGCACCAACTCGAGCTCTTTGGCTATCTTCTTATTTCCTTCCCATACCTCTCCGGCGTACTCTAGCGGCGGTACGATCACGCTCTTCAAAACTGTCAATTTGATGGTGTAACGAGGTGCCGGTTTGCGAGTATTGGGTGCAGCTTCCCTGCTCGTGCTTTGCCCTTTTCCGCTACCTTGGACATGTATGTGTGCATTCCACGCGCAGTCTTTTGAGATCTCTACTCCGAGGTATGTGCACTGATCCACTACTGCAAGCTTCTCGACCCCCCACTTCCATCTATACTGGGGGGGGAGCGAAGATTTAGCGAGAGGGAGAGAGGAGACAGGCCCTGCAAGCTTATCTAAGCCAAAGCCAAGTTTTGATCGCCTGTTGCAGCGGCCATCTTCGTCTGTACCGGCTGGACAAAGCAGGGGCATCCCAGGAAACTCTTCCAGGCACGTGACATGTAGAGAGTAGATCAACGACAACTCAATCTACCCGTTGCCCTACTTTCTGAAGTCAGGATCCACTCTTGGTCGCGGTTCGCCCACCACCCCCTACAAAAAAAAAAGTGTATAGTAAAAGAAACATACGACTTGCGTTGCCCTTCAAAATCGACCCTGTTTGGGACGGAAAAAGCATGGCGCAAAAGCCCAGGGTATGTAAAATTCTGCGCTCGCGTACATACGTATGCATGGGGTAGACTAGGCAAAGCACGGCACGAAAGGGGCAGTTCGTGCCCCTGATTCACCCCCCCGAAGCGAAGCACGCCAAGAAATACAACGGAACTGGCATGGAAGGGGCCCAAACCACAGAACCCGCAAAACAGGTCTCTCAGTACCACACACCTGAAATCTGTCTGTCAGCTCCATATTTCGGAAGAACCGCCCCACCAAGGACAGGAGTTGCTCCGAGCTCAGGTTGAACAGGTTCATGCTCAGGTCCACTAGCTCCGACTCCTCCTGCGCCCTCTCCGCGCTGATCGGCCGATCAACACCGGAACCACCCCCGCCGCCGCCGCTCCCGCCGGCTCCCGAAGGGCACCCCTCCCCCTCGCCGGACGCCGCCGCCGTCCCCACAGAGACGGAGCTGTCACTTCCACGCCTTCTAACGCCGTCGCCCTCGCCAGTCTGCCCGACATCCATGCCCGGGGGGGCTTCGGTGTCGCTCATCGAGCGCCGGCGGCCGCGCCGGCGGCTGCCCCCGCCGCCGCCGCCGCCAACGTCCCCACCCCGCGCGGCCGTGTCGTCCCTCTGGCTCGGCGCCCGCTGCTGCTGCTCTCCGGGCACCGCGGCGTCCGCCAGGAACGGCGCCTCGCTGTAGAGCCGCATGATGGTGCTCTCGACGCGGGCGTAGTTGGTCGAGGCTTCGCCGTCGCCGCCACCGCCACCGCCGTTCCTCTGGCGGATCAGGGAGCGCTCGGTCATGCCAGAGTACAGGAGAGCCACCTCCGCGGCCTTGTTCCGGAGGAGCAGCTCTATGCGCGCGCAAAGGCCCACCAGCGCGTTCTCGTCGTGCTCACTGAAGACGCCATTGCCCCGCTTGTTGATCACCTCCAGCACGGCCAGGGGTCTCGCCGGCATCTTCGACGACCGGCGGCGGCGCGGGTTCGGCTGCGGCTGCGGCGGCGGCGGCGGCGCCCCCCCCGCCTCCCACGCGGCCGGCTGCTGCTGCGACCCTCCCCGCCGTAGGGGCTGGAAGCCGTCCACGTCCATCGACACTCGGGGATCGGTACCGCCGTCGTCCCTCCGCGGTAGCTCGCCGCTTCCGTCTTGGAGGCTGCCGCTGCTTTCTTGTCCTTCGGGTCCGTCCCCACCCCCCGCCCACATGCCACCGCGGCTGCCGCCGCCCGCCGCCGGCGAAGCGCTTAAGACGACTTGGTCTGGAGGTGGGATTGGCACGCACAATACACTACACGGCAAGAGAACGCAAGGAGAGGTGCAGGTTATCAGGGAAAAGGAGGCTCCAAAGGCATGATCGGAATAAAGCGAGTATTTCAGAAGGATCCCACCAAAGAGGGAAGAGTCAGAAGTTGGTGTTTGTTGGAGTTGGAAGGAAGGAGGCATTTGTATTTACATGGCGAAGAGGATAATATCTGCGTGCTCGTCTATGACGGTCGTAAATCTCGCGATGCTACCTGCCTGCGTTGACGGAGAACACCAACGGGGATACTTCTACGCAGATACTCAACGACGTAAGCGTGGTTGTGCTCTCGACATCATCGCAAGACTTGTCGGGACACAAATCTGAACCTAAACGAGATGCCGCGAACGAAGAGGATGGATGGAGCGCTCACGACGGCACGCGAAGAACGACGCTGCCCATGCCACACGTATGCTCGCAAAACACGACGCACCCCTTGGTGACAAAGCCGGTCTGCTTGTCCCACCGCCCGTCGAAACGGGGGTCCTCGTAGCTGTCGATCACGTTCACGGTCCCTCCGGTCGCCGCCGCGTGCCCGCACAAGCCTTCCCCGATCTTGATCTTGGCGTCATCGAAGTCCACTGACTTGGCCACCCACAGCTCGTCCGCCGCGTCGTCCACAAAGAAGAGGCAAACCCTCTCCGCTTCCGTCATTATCTGTGCAACACGGACAACCTCCTCGACCATCGCGATCAGGCCCACGTCTCGTGGGCTGATGTTGCTCAGCGACAGCAGCGCCTCGGTGGAGCGGCGGCGCACGTACTCCTCGTCACGAGCCAGAGCCTCCGTGAGCAGCGGCACCAGCAGTCTTCCTAAGTCGTGCAGGGCTTCCACCGCCGCTGCCGAGAGCACGCCGTCTCCGCAGTGGACCTGCAACACCGCTAGCACCCTCTCCGCGGGGCCCGGCGATGGCCTCGCCTCCTCCGTTTCGTCATCTCCGTCCACGTCCTCCAACTGCTCGAACGCGGAGGTTTCTGCTTCCGCTTGCCTAACTCCCACTTCTGTAGGGAGGGCTGAGACCGGCCAGGACACCACGCTGCCGCTGGTGTACTCGGTGCCGTACAAGGTATTTCCTCGCCGCCGTTGTTGCCGCGTGGAGCAATCCTTGAGTTGCAACTTCCGTCCGGTCATCGCCGCCATTCCTGCGATTCCCTCGCCGATATCACACACCGCCCTCGTATTAAACGCAACCTCATGCTGCTGTTGCTGTTGATGCTGCTTTTGGCTCTGCCTACCGCCGTCGCCATCAGAAAACGAACGGCGATCTCGGCTCGGCGTCCCTTGAGCCCCTTTCGCCTCCCCATCGCCGCCACCGCTCCCAGAAGCAGTGGCTGGTGAGAAGTGCAAGAGTTTGTTGAACCAGCGGTCCACGAGCAAGGCGTCCGCGCTTGTCGCCCCAGTCCCTCGCAGCAGCAGGCCCTCCACCCGGCACAGGAGAGCCGCCGGCGAGATGAGAGGCGAGTCCGCCGCGGTCGACTCCAGCAGCTCGATTATCTGCAACGGAGGTCAAGGCGAACCGAACCGGTAGGCACGGTCCGCGACGGTGAGGCGGCGTATTCTATTGCTGCTGTAAGACGGCGAGAGGGATTATTTCGCGATGCGCAAGTTTGTTCTCTATACTCTGGGAGAGCTGCAACACCAAACAGGCACCACCGCAGCTGTCGCGCAAGAAAACATGCTCTTGATCATTGTACAGTAGTATAAGTTGCGTGTCACTTGCGGTTTGATATGGCAGATAAACAAGCAAGTGCGTGTTCTGTGAGTTACTTGCCGTCAGGTCATGGCGCCCTCCCCGTTGTGGGGAATATCTGGGTTAGGGAGTTTTGCCTATGCCAAGCCCACACAGCAGTGGGTGCCTGCCTGAATCGGTCGGTATGCTTCGTGTTCGCATATGTACAACGGGGATGGATGTAATCACACGATGCACCGACCCATTTCAGAATCCTAATCGTCGCGAATCGTCATGTCGCTTCCGAGATGATGATTGATGTTGAATGTTGATGACTGGCAATGTTCTTCCGGAGCAGTCTCCAACACCGAACGCATTGGCGCGCACAAAATGGCCAGCACGCAAGAGCTCGTCGCACGACTGGTTGGTACGCGCAAAGCCTGAACGACGCAAGCTGGCGAGAAAAGGGGGGACACAGACCCTTCCGGAAAATGCGTGGAGGGAAAAATTATGCGTACAACACGCGTACCCGGAATATTAGAGTACTGGCCCATCAATCCTAGATGAAAGGTTCCCCTATTGAGGTGCCACCCCAGTCACTTAGTCACTTACTGATTACCACACCTGCTCGACAGTCAACGGCATGACATCAGCACCCATGCTGCTTCTTTTCCTTGCCCTCCAACGCGACCTCGCGTATACAGTCCTTGATGGTGGGGCTGTCTGAAAGTGCCGCGTTGTTGGCGGAGTAAGAGTAGAGGGAGCGCATCGTTGTTGCGTTTCGGGGCCACTTCGAACTCGGAATGGGGGTACAACAGTCAGGATACCACCCCCCTACCGTATACAGTAGTCGCAGCCAAAGCCCCCCCGGCGCTGGTGTGCAAAAGTGGTGTGCCGACACTATGTAGCCGACACACAACAAGACAACGCGGGGGAAGCGATATGAACCTCGTAGCGGGGTATGGGAGCAGCGACGATGCCAACTCGTCTGACGGAGGCGGTGGAAGTGGGCCGGCATCGAAAGCAGCAAGACCAAAGGCCACCTTCCGCGCACCACGAGTGAACGCCGCCCCGAACGTCCTCGTCTCCGGGGCCATGGCGCAGGCGACGGACTCGCTGATGTCGTCTCCGCTCGGGAGGCTGGGGCTCAAGCCTTCCAGCAAGACCGGGGGGCAGATCATGATCCACAACCCGAAGGCGGAGCACTTCCTCGCTCCCGTCCAGGGCCCGGCGCACCCGCACCGGAGAGATCTCCCGGTCCCGGCGGGAGGCCGGGCAACGGGCACGGGCGGCGTAATCGAGCAGGCCTCTCTCGAGGAGTGGTCGTTCCACGAGCAGTACCACACCTTCCACCAGTTCGGCTACGCGGTGGACTCCCGGGGGGACACTGTCGGCAACCTGTCTGAGCACTCCAAGCGCCAGGGGGACACGGTGCTCTCTGCGGAAGTGGGGGGGCTTCGACGCAACAAGCGAAAGAAACAGGCGGGGGCGGGGGCGGCGGGGGCGGCGGCGGTCGGCGGGGAGGGCAAGGGGGAGGAGAGAGGAGGAGATCTTGGCGATTCGGACAACGACGGGGTGTGGGCGCCCGAGGTGCCCCGGGAGAAGACGGACTTCGAGGCGGGCACGATGACCGCGGAGCAGACGAAGTTTCGGGAGGCGTGGGAGGCGGAGCAGGCCAAGAAGCACCGCGAGTACAACATGGAGGAGGACCACGACCGGAGGGACGAGCGGAAGATCTCGCACCTGCTCCCGCCGCGGCACAACCGCGACACCGAGTCCAAGACGGCGCGGTCCACGTTCCACGGGAAGGCGCAGCACGACTACCAGGGCCGCTCCTGGATGGCGCCGCCGGCGGGCGCGAGGAGCGTGGAGGACGAGGGGGAAGACGTCCACAAGTGCTTCACGCCCAAGAAGTGCATCCACCGGTACACGGGGCACACGAAGGGCGTGCAGGCCATCTCCTTCTTCCCGGGCTACGGCCACCTCCTGCTGTCGGCGAGCATGGACGGGTCGGTCAAGATCTGGGACGTGAACGGCGGCCGGGGCCAGCGGAGGACGTACCAGGGGCACTCGGCGGCGGTCCGCGACATCCAGTTCTCGAACGACGGCAAGCAGTTCCTCAGCGCCGGGTACGACCGGTTCATTCGGCAGTGGGACACCGAGACCGGCCAGTGCATCGCCACCTTCACCAACCGGAAGATGCCCTACTGCGCCAAGTATTACCCTGTGGACAACAACATGTTCCTCTGCGGGTGCTCGGACAACAGGGTGGTGCAGTACGACGCCCGCAACGGGTCGGAGATCGTGCAGGAGTACAACCACCACCTCGGGCCGGTCAACACGGTGCTCTTTGTGGACGACAACCAGCGCTTTGTCAGCACGTCCGATGACAAGAAGGTATACTACTACAGAACTGCTGTATGTCGGCTTTGATATTAATATTTGCATCGACCGCGCTATATAACCGGCTGGCCAATGAACACACGTTGTCCTCAGTGCGGTTAAGAACGAAATAGACCCCTAAAGGCCATGGTCCAGAGCGTGGGTGTGCGTGGGTGTTGGAATGGACCGCTGCTGTTGCGTTGTTCTTGTGTCTTGTACTTGCAGATGGCCAGCAGCGCAAGTTGACCATTGCAAGGGATAGTTGTGCCAATTCAATGCATGTTCTTGCGGCTCTCTACGTGTTGCGAACGGGTGCGTGCTTGTTTACTTGAGCACCCGCAGGCGCGACGGGCCAAAGCAAAATGTTCGGCAAAGAGAACCTCAACAGCACTTTTTCTTGTGCATTTATACTGTTATTGTTGCTTCCAGCTTGTAGCGGCGAAGCCAACCTTTCAATAGCGATAGTGGCAGGGTGCAACATTTATATTTACGCTGGAGCTGCGGCATATTTGTTGGGTGACGGTAGTAAGAGAGGTACGATCGCAGTTCGGCTACAGCAATCGAGGCTACACGGCTTCAGCAAAACTGCTGTGGTGATATAGCACATTTACGGTGCCGCCGGCGAACGGAGTATGTCGAAACAGCGCGGCCGGAAGCAACAGCACCTTCCACTATGCGTATATTTCACACTGCCCTCATTCTCACCACGACTTTGGTGTATATACTTGATCGCTCGGGATGTGTGGTCTTGAAAGACACGACGAAGGCTGGGGTGTTACTTCCCCGCGCTCTATCGTTGCGTGTCCAAGAGTCGGTCGCTGGACCGATCCACGCACAACTCATCGACTTCCTTTGGCGCGGAAAGAGTTGTCCTGCGTCAATCTTGCGTCTGTCACGTTTTGTACTTCTCTCTCCTTCATTTCTTAGTCGTATATGGTACATATCCGAAACCTCACCGCCACCGTTTGGTCCCTTGTATATGCCCACTTACATACCCGCCGTCACCCCCCCCCCCCCCCCCCCCCCAAAAACAATATCCCA